ACAGACCGGTTTCCGCTCACTGGCTGAGCGAGGCGCGGGAGCAACACCGAGGCTTGCGATCCCGTTGCCGGTCCCCGGTCCGGTACGGGGGCGACCGGTACGGGGGCGACACTGAGGGTTGCGATCCATTGCCGGACACGGAAAAAAAAAAAAAAAAAAAAAAAAAAGATTTGGAAAATTTGCAGCCTGGCTATGTGGTAGAGAAGCAGAGAGCAGGAGAAAACATAAAGGTGAAGCAGATAAACTGGTTGCTAAAGACATTAGCTTGGCGGTGAGGCAGCCAGATGCTAATAGGCAAGAAAGTGGCAGAAAAGGCATTTGAGAAGTCTGGAAGGGTGCCCCACCCATCACAGACCCTGAGGCCTAGAAAGACTGAGTTGTCCCAGAGGACACACCTGGGGCACAGCTGCCCTCAGTATCCTGTTCCCTGCATCCCAGCTGCTGTGGCTGGAGCAGCCCTGCCTCAAGCAGCCCCAATTGTGGTTCGTGCAGCAGCTCTGGAGAGTAGAGGCCTGAAACCCCAGTGGCATCCATGTTGTGTTAAGTCTGCAGGCCAGCAGGACGTGAGAGCAGTGGAAGCATGGCAGCCCCCACCCAGATTCCAGAGGAGGTATGGAAAAGCCTGGGGGCCCAGGCAGAGACCTGCTGCAGGGACAGAGCCACCGCAAAGGCCATCTACTAGAGCAATGCTGAGCAGAAAAGTGGGGTTGGAGCCCCCCCAGAGAGCCCCCACCAGGGAAATGTCTAGTAGAACCAAGGCAGCAGGGCTGCTGCNGAGCAGAAAAGTGGGGTTGGAGCCCCCCCAGAGAGCCCCCACCAGGGAAATGTCTAGTAGAACCAAGGCAGCAGGGCTGCTGCCAGGACCCCAGAACTGCAGGGCCACTGGCAATGTGCAATGCAGGCCTGGAAAAGCTGCAGAAACCAGCACAGCCCAATGGACTGCGCTTGGCAGAGCAGTGGGAGTGAGGCTGTGCCCAGGACGCAGGATTTGGAGTGAAAGATGATTTTGGAGCTTTAAAACTTAATGTCTGCCCTGCTAGGTTTTGGACTTGTTTGGGGCCGGTTTCTCCTTTCTTCTGGCCTATTCCTTGCTTTTGGAATGGGAATGTATACCCAATATCTGTTCCACCGTTATATCTTGGAAGTAGATAAATTTATTTCTGATTTTTACAGGTTCGCAGCTGGAAGGACTTTTGCTTTTGGTCTCAGATAAGACTTTGGACCTTTCAAGTTGGTGCTGAAACAAGCTAAGACATTTGGGACTGTTGAGATGGAAAGATTGCATTTTGTATGTGAGAGTGACATGAGTTTGCGGGGGCAACGGGTGGAATGATAGTTTGGCTGTTTTGTCCTCCCAGAAGTCATGTGGAAATTTGATTCCCAGTGTGACAGTGTTGGAAACTGATTGAGCCATGGGGGCGGATCCCTCATGAGTGCACTAATACTCTCCCTGGGGGAGGAGGGGTGGTGAGTGAAATCTCACTCTATTAGTTCCCACGAAAGCTGGTTGTTTAAAAGACCCTGGTACCTCCCCCCTCTCTGTCTCTCACTTCCTCTTGCCATGTGATCTGCTTCTACCTGTTGGCTACCTGCCACTTTCCACCATGAGTAGAAGCAGTCTGAGGCCTGTGCCAGATGCAGCTGTTCTAGAATTGTAAGCCAAATAAACCTGTTCTTTATAAGTTACCCAGTCTCAGTTATTTGTTATAGCAACACAAATGGACTAATACAGGGGATCTAGTCCCTGGCTCTAGGCCTCAGGTCCCTTCGGTATGCCTGGTTGTGGGTGGGGGTAGGGGTGGGTCCAGTCCCAGACTCCATGCCTTGGGTCCCTAGGTGGGCCCTGAGGTGCTGGTGGTGTGCCAGGTTGTGGGTTGGGGGGTCCAGTCCCTGGCTCTATATCTCAGGTCCCTCGGTGGGCCCCAAGATGCTGGCAGTGTGCCTGGTTGTGGGCTGGGGGGGTCTGGTCCCCACTCCATGCCTTGGGTCAGCAGGTGGGCCCCAAGGCGCTGGTGTTGTGCCTGGTTGTGGGAGGGAGGTCTGGTCCCTGGCTCCATGCCTCAGGTCCATTGGCAGGCCCAAGGTGCTGGTGATGTGCCTGGGCCAGAACTAATGTTTTGTCCTTTGCTTACATCTAAAATGGGGGATCTTCCTGTGGGAACCAGTACCCGAGCTCTGTGGTTGAGCTAAATTGCTGCTTTGCTCCTTTGTTTTCCTAGGGAAGGCTTTTTGTGCAGCTCAGGGTTTAACGGTTGATGTTACAGGCACTTCCAGCTCTCCAGAGACCCGGTGCACCTGGGGTTGTGTAGAAACTCTGATCTGGGCCTGAGTCTTTTCATCAAACTGCACCCCATGCAATTCTGTATTCCTGACCAATGTCCTCTGAGTGGTCCTCTGCTGACTGGGGGGCAGATCAACTGTCCTTGGTGTGCACCAGTGCTCCCCTGGTTGGTCCGTCTCCCCCACCACCCATGCTCCAAACACTTCCCATGGGAC